TCACACCTTCCACGCTTCTTCTTCCAGAAGTAATAATAATAAAAAAAAACGAGTCCATATGTATATAGTTTTATGTACTCCATAAAAGATAAATAAATATGTAATATATAATGGAATAATCACATGCTTCGCAGGGACCATACATTAACATTAACACCTTCATTTGCCTCTCTCTCTCTCTTAAAATAATAATAATTAATAAGAAAACACACATTTCACATTGCATTGACCAAAAGAGAAATAGATTCCCGATCCTTCCAACAAACAAAAAATTTTAAAATAAAATAAGGAAACTTAGATATATAATATGTCAAACAAACATCGCCGCGCTGCGCTGCGTTTTGCCTTATTATCTTTATAATCGTCGTCATCAAATCAATCAAAGACTTGCCAAATAAAGTCAACTAATAAACCGAATGGGAAAATCGACTAAGCTTAAAAAATCAACTTTGACATGTTTATGGGAAAAAGTTTTTTTTTTCTTGATAAAATCTTGTTATAAAAAAATAGAATGTTTGAAACTTTAATTCCGCCAAAAAAAATTTTTTTTTCTATAATAAAAAAATTATATATTTTTTTTTTTCATACAATCAAAATAATAAAAATGTAAATTCGTATCATTTACGTACATACAGTATTTCATACATATATACATATATATGTATGTATTCACTCAATTAAAAAAAAATCTCATGTATTTCACACCATTCAACCAACTCGATTAACCAATCAAACCATCAACCATTCAAACAAAAGATTTCGAAACAACCAACCACCAAATATAATCATCATCGTAGTTAAACATTATGATTGTGATTGTTATTTTTACTTTACCCGCCAAAATTCTTTATTTAGATTTGTTTGGAATTTATAAACTTTTCCATTACAAATTTCTTTGATAATTTATATTGTAAATGATTACGGCTTCTTCCATTTTTTCTTGGCTTAGTAAATATTTGGTTATGATTTACAATTAGAGGGCTGTTGTGAAATAATAACGGTTTTTTTTTGTTTGTTCATTAATATTAAAAATTAATTAAATTTTTTATTAATAGAAGGATCAATAAATAAAAAAAGGGGGTGACAAAATTAGGAGAAAGAGGTGGTGGTGGAGGAGTAAATGTAAAAAGGAAACGAGAATGGAGGAAAAGATATTGATGATCTTTATGTAATAAATATGTGTTTGTTTACATTTAAAATTTTACAACAGAAACAATAGATAAGTCTATAATACATACATATATACATATATATAACAATCTTTATTTGTTTACATGTATTTTTGTAAGCAATTCGTAGTAAAAAGGGTTAAAAGAAACCAATTAAAAAGTTATTCCTATGGAAGGTAAAAATAGAAGACAGAAAAATAGAACTCGAGATTTTAGCTATATGTTGTACATTTAAAACAGTAGATTACGTATGCTATTTAAGCAATGCTATTTAAGCTATTTAGATCTCAATCGTTACACAGATTGATCGAACGAAGGATTTTATTTTATGCACGTGTCATGATTTGATTGTACTACAATTTTCTCTTTTTTTACAAACAAACTTTAATTCAATTATTGAAAAAATTCCATTTTATTTACTGAAAAAAAATATCACAATCATTATTATATTATTAAAATTGCTTAAATAATACAAAAAAGTCATTTGACAATTTTATTAATTAATATAAATTTGTTAATAAATTTGTTACTTATGCATAATCACAACACAATTATACAACCCCATATCTTAACAGTCATCTCTTTCTTTCCTTTTTATTTTTTTATTCATGCATATTAGATTTCACTAATTAATTTAATTACATTACACACACATTTTGATTTTTTTTTGAAATAAAAAAAAAAGGTCGTTGTGTGAGCATGGCTAGAACAATGATCAGGGTATTGGATCGGGAATTTCTTAATTTGTATTGTTTTATTTGTTTTTTTTAATTGTCAAAAAAAAAAAAAATGTTTCTTCTATAACAGTCTCAACATGTTTGTTATACTGGTTGGGATTATTGATCCACCACATTGTCATATTTATCTTCGTCATCGTCATTTTTACTTCATTATTACATCAACATGCTTTATTTTTATTTTTTAACACTACATACATATATATAACACACACACACTCACACACATATGTACAAGTAAGCAAGCAAGTCATGGATAGATAAGACATATTATATATTATTACATATAACACAATTGTATATTTTTGGTGAATTGGAAGAATTTGGGCAAATAAAAACATTTTTTTAAAAAATGAAATAATAATAAGACAAATAAAAATAATATCTGCACACATACCAACAAAATAAATTTCCGTAATAAATATTATTACTTCCCCCACACAACACATCTACCACAATTGTTTTTTATTATTAATTTAAAACAATCAAAAAAATATGGGTAGTAACATTGTTTATTGTTAATTAATTAATAAATTAATAAATTAATTAATTAATTACAGTAATAAAGTTTCGTTTTTCTCATTTCTTCTTCATTCATGCAACATAAATTGTAATTGTATTACAGTGATTATTTGATGGGTGGGTTGTTGTTGATGATGAATGACAACAGAGCACAAAAAAGCATTTTTGAAACAATATATCGTTTTTCCGTGTGATGATCGATAAATTAATTTTTTTCATTTGTGTAATAAATAAATAAAAAAAAAAAACATTGGCATTATAGACAATTTATTTTTTTAATCAAAAAAGTCCTGTTTTTTTACTTTCTTGAGTTTAGTTAATCTACCGCATGTTGTTACTTTAAACTTGAAGCGATTTAATCTTACTTGTCCCATTATCATTATTGTCTATTTAACTACTAAACCCTCACCATTATTTTTATGCCCATTATCATAATTACCACAACTGCTATTTGCTCTTGCATACACACACACACATTATTATTATTATTATCAGTGAAACAGAAAATAAGTGAGTGAAGATTATTGCTTTTTTTGATAATATTTTATTAAAAAAAAAAAAATCGGCTTTATATACTTTAAATGATGATTAATCCGATCAAAAAAACAAAAATTCACTGGATCAAATACAACAAACATTACGAAATCATAATTATTTTTGTAACAAAATATATATATAAATTTGTATTTATATATAATAAATATTTTTATCTATAAAGAATAATAATAAATAATAAATAATAACTAATAAATAATATACATTTGAGAAATTTGATAAAAAACACATGTCAAATTCTCAACATAGATTTTTTATTCTAATTAATTTAAATTTGTGATGATTGTGTGATATGTGTGATGAGAAGGAAGTTATGACGAAATCATGACTTTAATTCCTGATTTAAATTTTGTGAGAAACAATTATATGATTATCACATTATTTTAAAATTACCATAATAATAATAATAATAATAATAATAATAATTAATAATAATAATGTGAAACTAACAATAATGTTTACCGATGTAATATATTATGATAATGATGATACAATATCACATTCTTCACATATTCTTTGGTGATTTTATTTTTTACTTTTCTTTCATTCATTCATTCATTCATACATACATACATTCATTCATTCATTCATACATTCCATCCATCCATCCATCCATCAATCTATTTCTATCTCGACAACACAAAAACCAACAGAAACAATAATTCAATCCACAAACACTCCTTCCTCCCATCTTCTTCATTCTATCTATACACACACACACACACACATCGTACATCAAAAATTAAACCGTCAATTTACATTTACAAACACCCTAACACAACCACAAATCAATCAAATCACCATCACAACAACAACAACTCGTCATCGTTTTTTGTTTTACCCAACTCGCATTTCAAAATCTACGCGCCACCACCTTATTTCCGTGATAATTCAGGCAATCAAAATCCGCATTAACACCGCCGCCTTTTTCCTTCCTTCTCTGGCCCAATATGTCATATATATGTAATATTGAAACATGTATAATATTATGTGTACCCAAGCTTAAAAATCCGGGTCCTTTCTAAATAAATTACCCATATTTGGAATATGCTTAAATATTATTAAAAAATTAATTTATATAATCAAAAACAAAATATAAAAATATTTGGTTCGTTATCTATCGATCGAATCAATAGATAAATTATTTATGCTATATAGAGAGAGTGTGTGAATTTTATTTTTTAAAATAATAAAATATATTATTATTTAAATAATTTATTTATAAGTTATTTAAAATGTCAAAAAATTTTAAAATTTTTCATTTATTATCACATATTTTTTTTATTTAGTATGATCGAGAGAGTTTTCCGTAAGTTTTTATTTTTATTTTTATTCTATAATTGTAATAAATATAATAATAATAAAATATTATTTTAAAGAAGAAAATCTTTCAAATAAATTAATTAATTATATTTAAAGTAAAACAAATAAATAAATAAAAAAAAATATTTCTCATTAACATATATAAATACATCAAGTAAGGCCATTTTTTTTTTCTTCCTAAATTTTTTCAAACATCATCTTTTAATTTTTTTTCCAAAAAAAAAAAAACCTAAAAAAAAAAAATAAATAAATAATAATCATCGTAATCATCATCATTATTATAATCATTTGGTCCTTAATTTTTTATTAATAAAAAACGGTATTCAGACTAAAACTCAGAAAGACTAAACTCGATAAAAAAAAAATTAAAATATTTTATTTTAGGTTGGTATATCGTTTTATTTTGTTTATAATTGCACAAAAAAAATTTTTATTTTTTTTATCATCATCAATAATCAAACAACACCAGCACACACACCATACCATCAAAAAAATAAAATATATAATAAATAATAATAATAATAATAAAAATAAGAATTTTTTTGTTTCTATCTAATAATTTTTTCTCCCCTTCTCATTTCATTCATATTCAAAACTCACTCGCACACGATAAACACACGCTAAATATATATATATCATTAATTATTATTAAAAAATTTAACAGGAAAAATTTTTTTTCAAAAAATCAAATATTATGATTGTCTTACAGACTACACCTGAAAACGACCTTCATAACAGTTTCAATCAAAGGAATCTTGATTTTTTAAACAACAATAATAATAATCCATCGATTGGTAACTTTACTCCAAATACACCTCAAAACTTCACTTCTCAAATGTATCAAGCAACAGCAACAACCGCTCCCCAATATCAATCGCAACCTTTCGTGTATGGCAATTCTCATCTGAATTATCCTTCAAACGCAACTACCGCTACCGGGCAAAATAATCAAAGATCATCATCAAGTTCATCTCCATTGTTATCGAGACAATCTAATTCATCCGCGTCTAATAATCATCAATCCATATCGAACTCATCTGCAACTTCTGATCAAGGCTTCGTTCCAACAACTGCCACAACGATCGATTCAAACGGATATCACTCAACTCATCTTGGTTACAGATACGATCCTTCTGCTGCCGTTGTCGCCGCTGTGTCAACTGCTACAAATACTGCTGCTTCTTCTGCCTGCTCGTCTCCTTCAATAGCAACAACTACATTGACTTCTACCGCTGCACCCTCTCCAAACTCTACAATGAACCATCCAGATTTTTCGAAAAACTCTCCAATAACGAGTAATCAAATTTCTCCCGTTAATAATCATAATAATGTCTTACCCTCTGGTACTGCTTCTAATAATAATATGTCGCCAGAAAATGGTTCAAATATTCTTCCTCCATTATCTCAAGTCTTTCCGTCATCGTCATCGTCATCTATTAACAATAATAATAATAACATGACAATTCCAGGACCTTCAAATTCAACTGACAATAATTCCAATGACAATTCTCCAATTCTCTCCTCTACACCAATCAACAATATTCAACATCATCATAATAATAATCATCATCACTCTCAACAACAACAAATTCAGCATCAGCATCAACAAATTCATAATCATCATCATCAAAATAATCAGCATCATCATAATCATCATCATCATCAATCTTCTCATCCTTCCAACACCAACAATGCTGCTACCGCTTCATCAAATATACAATTGTCAACGGCTGCCGCCGCCGCTGCCCAAGCTAATTTCTTACAATCAATCCAACAACAATATTCTGATGTAAATGCTGCAAATTATGCTGCTGCAGCTGCTGCTCAAGCGTCCGATGGTGTTACTTACTCTCCACAATTATTATCACAAGCTCAACATGCTGCCGCCGCTGCTTTATCACAACAATCACAAATCACTAATTTACCACGTGTTGGTCCCACTACTACTACTTCGGATAATTCAATCAATGCACATAATGCCGCCTTAAGTTATCAACAACAACAAGCCGCTGCTGCCGCCGCAGTTGCTCAACATCAAGCCTTGCTTCATAATCATTTCATGGCCGCTGCTCATTCTTTAACAAATGGTAATTTAATAGCCGCTGCCAATTCACAACGTACAGCTACATCAAATTCACAGTCATCAAATGGTCGTCGTAATATAATAAATAGTAACGGTATGATAGTTGGTGGTGACCATCATATGAGTGATGGTTGTGGTGGAAATAATGTCGATATGAATTCCCAATCGCATGATCATCAACATAATCAACAACAGCAACAACAGCAACAACAACAACAACAACAACAACGTCCACAAAAAGTATATTCATTTGTCGCATTACCGGGTATAAACACAAAGAAACGTCCCAGAAGAAGGTATGATGAGATTGAACGTCATTACTCTTGCAATTTCCCTGGTTGTACCAAAAGCTACGGCACACTTAATCATTTAAATGCTCACGTACAAATGCAAAAACATGGTCCAAAACGTCATCCATCAGGTAATTAGTTGTTGCTGTTTATAATAATATATGGATAAGATAGAGGAGACCTATTTTAGTTGTAGATTTATTTCATTAATAATAATTAATATTAATTAATTATTTATTATTATTTTTTTTTAAATTTAAAAGAATTTAAAGAACTTCGTAAACAATGGAGACGTCAAAAACGTGAAGAAGAAGAACGTAAAGCTGCCGAAGCTGTTGCTGCAAAAAATCTCACAAATCTTAATATGTCAATATAATTTTTACATATAATATATAATAAGAGAACTAATTAATTAATAATTAATAATAATTAATAATAATAATATATAAGCGATATGAAGATTTTAAGAATTTTTATTTTCTTTTTTATTTTTCAACTTTTCAATATTTTTTTTTTATTTGTAAATAATTTAAAAAACACACAAACAACGATTAATAATTGCGTAAGGGTTGTGATTTATTATTTTTTTCAATTTTTTTCATTCATATTTCTTGCTTTTTTTCTTTTAATTAATTAATTAGAAATAAAAAAATTTTTTTTATAATTTTAAATTTTTAAAAATTTTTTTTAAAAAAATTAAAATTATGTATAGCAAAGCATATATAAAAAAATAAACTTTTTATAAAATTCTCAATATATCATGTGTGTGTGACGTCATATAGTAATAATATGTTGTATCGTACAAAATAACTGTTATATTTATCTTTCTTGATTGCTCTCTATTTTTTTTTTTTAACTGTTAAACACGTTCACAAACGTTCCATGATTCCGATTATTCAAGAGCTAGCTAATTGAATGTGTTTCACCAATTAAAGATATACCATCATTTACTTTTTATACTCGTCTACGTCGATATGGTGAAGGACCACTTGCAACAGAAATGTTAAAAGTATTTAGACATTGTCATAATTATTGATCAGCAAACAAATTGGGCTGCATGTATAGTCAAGGCTCTATTTGCTCTCATTAAATTATTTTGGGCATGTTCGATTACTTGGACTTGTGTTTAATACATGGTGTACAATATGTTTTGAATATATTAACAATTACTATTACTGCATTGAAAATTTAAAACCGATTTTTGAATACCAGAGATTTATGTCTGTAAACAAAAAATTGACGATGTGAAAAGTAAGAAAATAATCATTTTCTAACAAAAAAGGCAAATTATTTGGATGCGTATATCTTAATCGACGCTTTCATTTTTAACTGATAAAAAATTATATGAATCATCATCATCACAATCAACTTCACTGAATACATGCCCAGGTGAATGGGATGAACGACTAAAAGATAATAATGAATAACCAATACCTGGTAATTTACCCTTCACCAGTTGGCATATGAGGGAGTTTAAAGATGATGCAATTTCATCTTCTATAATAAAGTAAATGAAAGACGTACTTTCGTCATCTTCATCTAAAAGCCTCCAGCAGTATATTTAAGAAGAAAATAAATAAAAAAAGTGTCTTGAAGCAGTTAATAATATTGATATTAAAAAAATAAAAACTAAAGAAAAATTTTACATCCAATCTTGAATAAATAGTTAGTAGCAACGATTGACTCAACTATTACAGCCAATCAATCATCTTACCTATGTATATATACCTAAGCCACTTTAAATTAAGACTGATAATCAAAGGACCTAAATTTTCAGTGGTTGAAGATAATAGAAATTCTGGCTTCATTGTTCTTGACCCGGGGGGAGAACTTTTATGACCAAATATAACCCATGTGATCAAGTTATTGAATGAGGGAAGTAAGACATAAACTGACAACGACACTTATGCTATCACTATGATAGTAAACAGGATCATATTCATTAAACGTAAAAAGATATAAACTTCATCCGAATTCACAATAAAACAAAATAATGTCATCGCAAAACGATTGTGTAAAACCATTATGTCATTTCTCTCTCTCTCCTCCCCCCTCTTCATATATTTTTAATATTATGTTTTTTAAAAAAAAATTGAAAATTGCGAATTTGTGATTTTAATTAAAAAAAAAAAGGAAACGATTAATTAATTAAATAATTAATGATATTTTTACTCTAGAGTTCAAAACGTATAACATAATTTTAGAAACATTCTAAAACTGCAAAACAAATGTTGTCCTATCATATTTACGAGCATCATTGGTGCGTGAATGTTGTGAAGTCATCTGGATGGCGCAACAAAGAGAATCCGTGATATTACTTTTAAAGTATTGGTGACTTGGCTGTGATTTTTGTTATTATTCTGCGGTAAATGTCATTTACAAAATTTTTCCGCAACAACACGCATGTATGTGTCATACTTTGTCAACAAATATAAAAAATATAAATTGTTTAAAATTGTTTAAAATTAAAATTAAAAACAATTCGGCGATTCAAATTTTATTACACTTTTGATCTTATATATTCGAAAATTTCTTTTTTAAATGTTTTCTCAATCCACTAAAAACACGTCAACTACTGCTACAAGGGGTTCTGCCGCTAATAATAATAATAATAATAACAACAACATGGGATATTCACAAGTTACTAATAACGATCAATCACTATTTTTTTCAACTTTTCCAACACAATCTGAAGTTCGCCATCACCACCAGCCCCAACCGATAGCTTCAACTCACCATAATCACTATAATCAATATAATCAATATGAAAATGAGGACGACGACGATGATTATCAATCTTCAACACATAATTCTTCATTTTTATATGGAATACCCATAGATATTTTTCAAGAGGACCAATCTGTTAGTTGAAATTTATCATCATATTGTTATTGTTATCGTTATCGTTATAACAACTTTTCATTTTTATAAATTAATCAATGAATTAATATATCTATACATTAGACTGAAGCTGCCTCAATTTATAAAAACGCTCCTCCTTCGACTTCAATAATAATATCTCCCAACAACAATCCACTTTCTGAAGGTTTGCTACCTTCTTGTTCAGTATGTATTCTATTCTATTGTCATTGATATATATTTATATGGAAAGGTATTAAATTAATCGAGAAATTCCTTTTTGAATCTACTTTTTATTATTGTTATTATAAAGATACCGCCTCTTTTATCGGCCAATACACGTAGAAAGTATAAGGATCCAGGATGTGCAGTCTTGTTTGTTTTATTATTTGCAACGATGACGCTTTCTGGTTTAGTTTTACTATTTACTACTAGTGTAAGCTCTATTCAAATTTTTTTTTTTTTTTGATCTAATTATATCCACCTACACACACATATTTTAAAATATATTTAAATTGCTTTTAAAAAATAAAATTTAGTCAACTCCATTAAAAGAATATGCACAAAATTCAATCTTCTTTGCCATCCGTGATAGCACAGGTGAAAAATCTTTTGATTTTTAATGATAATTTTTATCTATCAATCTGTTTATCTAATAATATGTCTATTAAAATATTATCTGTGCATATATACACGTATTATAGGGCTTTTTTTTATTTCAATTGTATTTTCTCTATGGATGGTTTTTCTTTGTACATATTTACTTCGTTCTTTTGTGCAGGTATGTGATTTCAAACATTGCTTTAAAAAGAAATCATACATACATACTTACATATCACCAAATAAACATTTATCTTATACTTTAAAAAAAAGATTTTTGTATGGGTGACTGTAAAAGCTGTCCCTTTTGTTGGAATATCACTATTTATATGGACGATAACAGAGGCCTTCACAGGCGCACTTCGTGAATCAGGAAAACCAGATCCTCAAGACGATTGGTAATTTAAAAATTGATTTTAAAAAATGTATTATATATATATATATATATATTTATATTAACTATTAATTAATTATTAAAAAAGGCTTGCAGTGTTATCATTCGTTATACTTATCTCATCCATGATTTGTTTTTATTTCTTGTATACTTTGAAGAAAAAAATTGATAAAGCAATCTCGATAATCCAGGTTTATATATATATATTTTTTAAGACTTGTTTCTTTTTACTAAACTACCAACTAACGACCAAGCAAATAAATTTTTTTTGTTTAGTTGGCATGCAAGATTTTACAAGACAATATACGAGTGCTTTATGTTTCCTATTCAATTCTATTTGTTTATACTATATTCACTTTAGTATGGCTATTATTCTTTAGCAGAGTTTTTCTTCTTGGTCGTATGGTACAAGATTCAACAGGTTGGAATTTTGTTTATTGATCGTTTGATTGATAAAAGGGAGACAAAATTTTGTTTGATTTAATTAAATCATTTTATCTAACATGTATAACATGTATATATATTAATTCTAGAAACAACTTGGATTCTTGATTCTGATGCACCTTTATTGATTACATTCTATGTCTTGATGTATTTTTGGGTAACATCAGTTTTGAATAATGTTCAAAGGCATGAGGAAAATTTTTATTATGAAAATTCTCAATTAAAATTGAAAAGTTTTTTTGCTAACTTGCATTTCTTTAAATTTTTTTTTTAAAAAGAGTGACGATTTCGAATGTTGTTTCAGATTGGTACTTTCATAGGTAGTAATAATAGTAAAAGAAGAAAATATTATTATTGCAATGTAAATTGACATATAAATATTAATATATTTAATTTATAATCAGAAATAATCCAGATCGTGACAGCACTCAAGACACTACTTCCTTAGCTCTAAACAGAGCAACCACAACTTCTTTGGGAACCATATGTTTTGGAAGTTTGGTTCTTTCTGTGATTTATACTTTTCAAAAAATTATTGAAATATCCAATAAAGTATGTATTTTATTTTAATCAACTTTTAATTTCTTTTTTTTCCTAAAAATAAATAAACAAACAAACAAACAAACTAAATCAACCATTTTAAATTATATTAACAAGTACTTTAGTCAATATGGATGTTTCTATTATTTTACAGTTTGTCTGGAATGTATAAGTGGAATCGTAGATAATTTCAATAATTATGTAATGGTTTATGTTGGTATTTCAGGTGAAAGTTTCCTTACATCATCAAGAACGGCCACTGAATTGTTTAAAAAAAATCTTGTTGATAGATTAGTTGATGGTATCATTTTTATATTTTTATTTGAATTTTTGATCAATTAATCAAATAATTGGTTTATTAATTCAATATTTATTTATTATTTTAGTGATGACATTATCCTTTACAAAATGCATTTTATTTATCAATTCTTTGATTATTACGCTTATTTTTGGGCTTGTTACTTTTATATATGCCACACACGTATTACAATCTTCATATGGATACATTCCTGGAATTTTATCAACAATGATCTCCTTTTATATTTCAAGATTTTATACATGTATAATGATGAATACGTATGTATTTACATTTATATATATATATATTTATCTTTTTTTTTTTTTTTTTGATAGAAATTATTCTAACAAATAAAAAATTATATCTATTTTATTTATTTTATAGGGTTGATGCAGCATTTGTTTGTTATGCGATAGATCTTGATATCAGCAAAATTCATTGTAAATTGGCACATGGAGTATTTTCAAGCCTTTAAGTGGAAGAGATTATACATAATTTATTTTTTTTCTTCATTGTCGTTGTTATCATCATCAAACAACAACAACAAACCATTTTTTCATCACACATTCTGTTTATTTATAATTTTCCCCGTTAATTATTGTAATATGTGTATATAAATGTTCAGGCCACAACAAAGTGGAATAAAGATTCCGGGGTTAAATTATAGAAAAACGTTGTTTGGATGAATACATTTCATAATAATAAATAAATAAACGTATTTAAGATGTGTTTTTTTATCTGATTTTACTGTAAACATTATAATAAACCATTTAATAAACATACACAAGAATTTATAATAAAAACAACATCAATTCACTCATTCACATTCACATTTAAAATCTGAATAAAATTTTTAATATTTATCAAAATGCTTGGTTTTTTTCTACATTTTAAAATATTGACAATAATTAATTTGATTCAGATTTTTCATTTAACAAAATGGCAATTGAAATTCATGAATTATCTGAAGAGGATTTCTGCCTCCACTATCAAGGACTTCTACTTGTAAAAGACCAACCATAAGAAAAAAAAACAGAGAAGCAATTTAGAATTGGTTAATATGTTGTACGTGAATTTTGAAATTTGAAATTTACGCGTCAAATTAGCCAATCAGAGTTTTGTATCCAAACATCCTACCCCAAAATTTAATTTCAAATTGACAACATGACAACAAATATAAAAGGATTAAAGAGATGAAGAGTAAAAAAAAAATCAAGATATTAATAATATTATTGGTTAATAATAATAAAAATAGTATAGATTTGCGCCAGAACAGGTAATCCGAGTATTTCTCTCCTTTGCAATTGCTCTGGTATTTTTTTTCTTATATTTGTTCATCCTTCGAATTAAGATTAAATAAATAAATATTTTATTTTAAATTCTTCTAACCACTGCTTTAATTGTTATTTTTTAATATATCAATATATATATTTTAATATTTATTATCTATAAAATTATAATGTATAGATGTTATAACGGGGATTATGTAGAATAGTGGCACAGTATGCACGCGGAATTTGTTTTTAGCATTTCATCAATGCAGAAAATCATCATCAGGAAATTAAAAATGTGTCATTCATAGCATTAAATAGCACATTACCACTATTCATTACTTATTTAGATGCAATAGATAGTATAATTGTAGCAAATAATATTATTTAAAACTCAGCCATTTAAAAGATATTAGGCGCGCAACGGCCAATATCGGATGTCACTGAAATTGTCCATCGCACGTCCAATATCGATGTTATCGGGTAATCACTATTAAGCTATTCTTTCAAACGTCACTGTTTATTAAGTTTAATTATATGATTAATTTATATCTTATAAATAGTGCTGTTTGCCCGATAACATTAGATAGTTAAAATATTTTTTAATAAATAATGAAAGCATTATTTAATAATAATAAAATTTTATGGTAGAATTACTTTCTGTAAAATAAAATCAATTTGACATTTTATGTTAAATAGCAATAATATAATGAATTAAAAGAATAAATCTATTCACAAAAAAATGCATTCTGATGGTTATGATGTGGAATAATATGAACATTTGAAACAATTGCATTCATGTCAATAATGTTATAATTCTTAATTAATTTAAGATAGGGACATTCATATTTATAAAATCTTTTTGGAATTTAAAATCATACCACTGAATTAAAGCCAAATCTTCATTTAAATAATTGGAATTTGTAAGCCCAAATAATAATAGGACCTAGATAAATCTTAATATAAATATTACTGATTGATTAATATAATTGATTGATTTATTGATAATACAGTGTGTAAAGAAATTATTGGCAAAAAAATTGCAAAAACTTGAATTCATATAACTTTACCAAAATCAGGCCAAATCAGATAATCTTTTTTTATTTTAAATGTCAAAAATATCTCTTGATTTTTATTATTAATATAAAGTTTTTTAAAAACTACATATTGAAATTTTTTTTATTAAAATGATTAAATCCAAACTAAAAACACAACAAGAAACTATATTACATTTTGGAACATAGGAATTTGTACTGCTAAGGAAATCCACAAAACAACATGGATTCCAATGTGAACTATCTATAACAACTTGAAAAAGTTGGAAGAAATTGGTAATTTGGATCACAAGAAAGGGGCTGGTTGTCCTAAAAAAATCACTCCTAATATTGCACAGCACATCAGTCAGAATATATGCTGAGACTCACTATTTCTCTGTGTTCTATAGAGACAAAATTGGCTGTAAAAGGTGTAGAGGTCTCATATACAACAATTGCAGCACACTTGGCAAGTCTTGGTTACAATAAAAAGTTACTGCAGTCCACCCCAATGTTAACTGAAGCCCATAAATAACAACAAGTAGAATGGGCGCAAAAACACTTAGAAGATGACTGGAATAAAACAATATTTACTGACGAGACAGCATTCCAGCTCTTTAGGAATGCTGTTGAAAGATGGTACAAGGGTGAGCAACCTGTATGACAGATTCCAAAAGATCGTATGGTTGGCTCAGTCTAAAGACCTCCTCATGTGGCCAAATTTCAAAATAGCAATCTTGTAATTTGTTCAAAAATGTAATAAAACTTTTCAAAAAATAGGACTTCACGTGATTTTAGTTTTCTTACTGCCAAATTTAGATACGATAGTCAAGAGCTAGTCTAAATTTAGCAATATTTTTCTAAATTTAGAAATGATCATAGTGGACAAATTCCTCGCGAGAATAGTAAAGTACATGTTTTAAAAAAGAATAGAACTCTACAAAAAATAATTTTTTTGAGAAATATCTCTATTATATTAAAACTAAAATCATATTCTATCAACTAATAGAGCAATTTTTTTAAAAGGTAGGACAGAAATTGACTTCTATACTTTTAAAATTTGCCCAAAATTTAGGAGGTCTCTAGACTGAGCCAACTATACTAAAATATTTGCATGAGTAGGCTTTTCTATAAAGGGTAAGACCAGCCTATTTTGTTTCACAAATATTATGAATGCAAAATTTTATGTTGAAATTCTAGAAAACCACATTCCTGAGATTTGAGAACTAATGGGAGGTGTTGGCAGCTTCAACAGGATAATGACCCTAAACACACCAGCCATCTTGCCCAATCATTCATTAGTGAGAATGTCCCTGACATTATGGACTGGCCAGCAAACAGTCCTGACTTAAATCCTATTGAGAATCTCTGGAATATTGTTAAGAGAAATGTGAAAAGAGAATGCTAAAAAATCAGCAGGATTTAAGTCATTTTATGGTTGAAGAATGGAATGCCATTCCAAAAAGCATGTTAATCAATTTAGTAAAATTGATGAAATGAAGATGTGAATTAGTTATAGAGAGTAATGGAGAAAGAATATCAGATTAAAAATTTATCAATAAATCTCTCATACTCAAGTTAGCAGATGAAGGAAGTATTAATCATGTTGATTGCTACAGTGGTTGTTGTGTAATGATCAAATATGTAATTGCCAATAATTTCTTTACACACTGTAAATATACCTTTACATAACAATTTCCATTATCACTTGGATAACCTTTTAAATCATCTTCATTCATACAAATCATAATGTTAATAAACATAGGCTCAGAATAAAAATTTTTCCATATATCTTATATATTCATCAGAACACAGCTTTGCTGTTTCAAAAAGCTGAACTTCTGTATGTTTGTTAATAGTCTTTTTATTGACTATTAGTTCTGTATCAAGATATACATCAAGACAAGAGATTAAATTTTTTAATCCATCAATAGTTTCATTTGATTTGAGTTGTTGATTATCTATATATGATTTTAATGTTGGTTTTATCGATTTAGAATGGCCATTTATTTTGTTTGGTTTATTTGAGTATTTTTAAGAGAAACACAAACTATTGTTGAAATGTCTTGTCTATATACCTACACAAATCAGTATCAGAAATAATTAAGTTTTAATGATAAAGTAAAAGTACTAAAATGTATTTACATGATTTAACATTTGATTAATGGGGTTTCTTTTATTTGCGGAATTTTAACTGACAATTTGTGAAGTTATTCATATGTTTCAGCTGTTTGACCATTGAGTGAACCAAAGTATTTAATGGAAAGAAGATGTGTGATATGACATAATTTCAACCATTTCAACTTCATGTATAATATATATGAAAACAATTAATAATATTTTAGCCTTTGTCTCATATTTGTCTGCTAACTCTTTAATTGAAGCTTGATGTATCATCTAAAAATATAAGATAACATGTATTAAAAAACAATGTTATATAAAACAGTTAAATATAAAAAATACAATGATTTTTGTTTAATTTTTGTTCATTTAATAAGATCAGCAGTACGCAGTAAATAATGATAAATACAATCTTCGTCACATAATTTATTCACCAACTCCAAGTTATCATCTTATTATGTATGAAAAATAATCTTAATACAGTGTGTAATGAAAGGTATTTAAATTCTCTAAAATTGTCATTTAAATTTTAGGTTAGAAATCAATGTATTTGTAATGTATTTAAAATTTCTAGGAGCTTTATACAGTCAACCCCCTCTAAGTGCACCCCCCTTGGGAATGAGTGATAATGTGCACTTAGAGGGGTGCACCAGGGCTGGAAATAGTACTTTAAAAATCTGGATTTTCCTTTTAAAAATTTTAACTTCCGGAAAAAAAAAGCCGGATATTTTTCCTTTTTTATTTTTGTACAGATTTCCCATCCACATAAAAAAATTTTATACTGAATAATGTATACATATATATGTGTATCACTACTTCAATATTTTATAATTTGTATCTTTTGAATTTTCAGAAGAAAGTATTAACTTAATTTAAATCTTATTTCACTGCTATTAAATTATTAAATTTAAAAATATATACACTTTAAATATGAATTTATGTATATTTGTTTTCCCTTATTCAAAAAAATATATAAATAAATAGTATAGAATAAGAAGAATTAGATAATCTGACTACTGAAATTTGGGATGAAGCATTATAAATGAAACAATTCAAGGCTCAGATATTTCAAAAAAACAAATAAAAAAAGTGAATCAAGTGAAAACCATATTAAAATGTCAAATAAAAAAGTGCATTTTAAAAATCAGAAAGAAGTTTTCATCATGAATGGCTAAACACATATAAATGATTAAAATACAATGCAGCAATAGAGAGTGTTTTGCACAATTTGTAAAACACATGGGAAAAAAAATCAATTTGCAGAAAAAGGTGACAAATAAATATAATTGATTTTGCATTTTGCAATTATTAATTTGCTGATATTTTTATGTTATTATTTAGGATCAAAGAATGTTTCAAAATCTACTGCTCTAGCAACTCATGCACTTTCAAACCAACATAATG